TGTTCTAGTGGGATAATATGGCACTATGAGCTCTCTAAGATATGACGGAGCCTAACCATTTAGAGCTTTATAAGTTAGGAGTAGGATTTTAAATTCAATTCTGGATTTTACAGGGAGCCAGTGCAGAGAAGCTAAAACAGGAGAAATATGATCTCGTTTCTTAGTTCCTGTTAGTACACGTGCTGCTGCATTCTGAATTAGCTGGAGAGTTTTTAAAGACTTATTAGTGCTACTTGATAATAGGGAGTTACAGTAATCCAGCCTAGAGGTAACAAAAGCGTGGACCAATTTTTCTGCATCTTTTCAGGTCAGGATAAATGAGAATTAAAAGACAAATCTTGGTCAAATATTGCTCCGAGGTTTCTTACGGTAGTGCTAGAGGCCAGAGCAATGCCATCTAGAGAAACTATGTCATCAGATAAAGAGTCTCTGAGTTGTTTCGGGCCAAGAACAATAACTTCAGTTTTGTCTGAATTTACGTAACATAAGGAAACTGGTGCTCATCCAGGTTTTTATGTCTTTAAGGCAATTATGAAGTTTAGTTAATTGATTAGTTTCTTCTGGCTTCATCGATAAATACAGCTGAGTAACAATGGAAATTTACAGAGTGATTTCTAATGATGTTATCTAAAGGAAGCATATATAGAGTGAATAGGATTGGTCCGAGCACAGAACCTTGTGGAACTCCAAAACAAACTTTAGTATGCAAGGATGATTCATCCTGAACATGAACAAACTGAAAACAATGAGATAAATAAGATTTAAACCAGCTTAGTGCAGAACCTTTTAAGCCAATTAAATGTTCCAGTCTCTGTAGCAGAATTTGATGGTCAGTTGTGTCAAATGCCGCACTAAGATCTAATAAAACAAGTACAGAGACGAGTCCTTTGTCTGATGCAATCAGAAGATCATTTGTAATTTTAACTACTGCTGTCTCAGTGCTATGATGCACTCTAAATCCTGACTGAAATTCTTCAAATAAATTATCATGGAGAAAATCACACAGCTGGTCTGCAACTACTTTCTTTGAAAGAAAGGGAAGATTAGATATTGGTCTATAGTTATGGCGACCTAACCAAGTGTTGAAAAGTTTAGCTGCAGGCATCGCAGGGAAACAAAGACAGGCAAATTCAGAAGGTTTTAAGAATAGGAGTTTAGCAATTCAGTTTGTCCATGAGCGGGAGAAATACAGAAGTGATAAGTTAGTAAGGAGGTAAGGGTGTGGCCGCCTAGAAGGTGCTTGTGATTGGGAAATGCAAGTAGATTTAGGGGAAAAGCTTGTTGCTCCCCAGGAAATAGTTTGTACCAATCAGAGGCCTGACATAGTGTTGTGGTCAGTGAGTCAACGGATAGTTTATTTAATTGAGCTAACAGTTCCTTGGGAAGACTCAGTGGAAGAAGCCTATGAAAGAAAAAAGCTTAGATATGCAGACTTAGGAGCAGAAGCTGAGCAGCAAGGGTGGAAAACTAGGATTTGTCCAGTGGAAGTGGGGTGTAGGGAATTCATAGCAAGATTGGCTGTCTCACTCCTGGGGGAACTTGGAGTGCGGGGACAGAGTTTGAGGAAGACAGTGAAGGAAATGTCAAATGAAGCAGCTAGATCTAGTCAGTGGATTTGGATGAGGAGGAATAATGTCTGTTGGGGGCCAGCAGGGGGATCTACTAGGTAGGGTACATAACTCCTTGAGATCAGGTGGAGAGATCCACCAATCAGTCCTCTCAGGAGAAAATCCAGGAAGAGGAAGGTTATTTAAGTGTGGGAGTGGCCTATTTGAATCCCTTTTGTTTGAGACCATGCTGCAAGGTGAGTTTGTTTGCTGATCCTGCGAGTTAATCTTTTCTATTTCCCTTAACTTTAGCTTATATTGGAGTTATGATATGTAGCGTGTGAAATAGAGTAAGGTGAATGTGCTAGGAAAGGTAGTATCAGCACGGTCAGTACCTGGAGCTTGCATAAACAGAGCCTGGGTTTGTTGAAGGTGGCAGTGCTGCTTGGACTGTGAAAGCCTGTGAGTTTATCTTCTCTATCTCCCTTAACTTTAGCTTATATTGGAGTTATGATATGTAGCATATGAAATAGAGTATGGTGAATGTGCTAGGAAAGGTAGTATCAGCACGGTCCCTACCTGGAGCTCGCATAAACGGAGCCTTGGTTTGTTGAAGGTGGCAGTGCTGTTTGGGCTGAGAAAGCCATGTGTAATGTAAGGTAAAGGAGGCTGTTGGGTCGGTGCGGGGAGCAGTGAGAGCTGGCATTAGGGGAGTGTCTCTGGGACGCCAGAGATCACTGTCTAGCCTCCTGGAGGTGTCGTGGGTCCAACTAGATGAAACACTGGTGAAAGGAGGTTCCCACCTGATGACCCCAAAGATGTGTTAGTTATCACTGCTCATTGGTCTGTATAGTTAAGCCTTGCCATAATAGCTTATCATAGAGCTTAGGAGGTTATTCACTGAGCGCTGATCCTTTATCTAGAGCACACATTTCTTGTGTTTGTTTGAATTCAGAACTATTACTGTATCATAACAAATACCATTACCATGGTGTAAAATTACATACACCATGGAAGAAGATAGAAGATTTTGGTTACACCTCACCCCTTATTTGTTGCATGCTTTATTTTGATACCTAGGGACATACAGTGGCTAGAGGGGCATTTTTGACATAATTAATTGGACAGTCCCATTCATGTGTATAATTTTAAATCAGCATTTCTTCCTCTACACAAGTATGTCTATGTGTGTATTGTGTGTTTGAGTACACAATTTTATAATGTGCTAACATCGGGAGCAGGTATGGGGCTATACAGGTGAGTGTGCCCTTTTTCAAAACTGAGCCAGTGCATCTCAGAAATGTTCTTGTGCATTCCTGCCCACACATAGTCATTAGACTTACACATTACAAGTGTGAAATGATAAAGAATAATCTGTTCCGCTGCCATGCATTATTATTAAAGTCATCGAAAGTTCTATTTGTATCTGCATTGTTATGAGTACAAGTCATGTCTATTTGTGAGCTAAGATGTTTGGTCATCGAACTATAAAGCAACGAAACTCTGTCTGTCTGTCTGTGTGTCCTGTGCATATCTCAAGAACCATTTATGCCATCTACTTCACTCCTGGCAGGTTTATTGCTGGAGATCCAAGAACAAATATTGTCAAATTTGGTGCAATTTTGACACAGAACATTTTCAGTATTAATAAGCTTTGAATAAACAAGTGAACAGGCTCTGTGTAGCAGTGGGGTGGGGGTTTGGGGCTCTGTGGAAAGTCTAGCATATAAGCCATACTAAATTATAACACTATAAATTATACAGCCTTTGCTATCAAATCCATGCTCTACTTTATAGCCACAATGGTGCAGACTGAGTCAAGCATGGCCTCACCTACATCCATTGTGTAAGTTTGCCATACTAACTTATAATAAACACATAAACTCTCTGGTTAAGTCTGTGCTGTACTTTATAACTGCAGTGGTTATGTTGAAGCAAGGGACTAATTCGCCAGTTTGGTAATAAATATTTCTGATAAATGATTTTCACTGGTGAGGTGGTATGACTTTGATGTATTTCAAGGGTGAGTTTTGTGATGTGGGGTCCCATGCAAAAGTCATCTTGCTTTACTTTGTACCCTTTCTCTAACTTGGAATGTTAGTATTGGCAGTGGTTGAAGAAGTATTGAAGTAAAACTATTAACTATTGATAGTAAAACTATTAATAATGTACATTAAAACTCCTGCATTAAGATTTTTTACTGAAAGTAAAAGAGAGGCATTATCAGCAAAATGAACTTCCATTTATTTTGAGTCTGGTCCTGGTCATGGTTTCAGTTCTAATATAATGCTGGATAGTTTAATGATTATTAATGGATCATATTTTCATTGTTATATTTTGTGAATGAAATCTACATCTGCAATGTAACTGTAACAGTAAAGTGTCTGTCTGGTAAATTTAGTAATAGTAGTAGTAGCACTCACATTATTGTTTGCGGTACCAAATCATTACAGACCCAAAAAACATTACTGATGGCTTCTTTTAGACAACAGTATTTGTACTTAGTGCAAAAATGTATAATTAACAGACTTCTTGATGTCCCCAGTCACCAGGTAAAAAGTTTAGAGGTTTGCTGCGTCACAAAGATGGCGACCTCTTAGGGTGAGAGGTGTCCATCATTCCACACTCAACTTATGGACCATTTTGAGTGCACCAGTAATACACTGCATTCTGTGAACAAACTAAGTGCACTTGTGAACTCAAAATATTAGATGTCTAGTGCAGAAGTATGTGATTTGAGACAGGCTGTTAGTCTGTGGTTGCACAGCACACACCCTCCAAACCAGGAAACAAGGGCCGCTGCACAGCTATAGCCTCTTGCTCAGAGCTAACATTAGCACAAAGCACTCACCCACTGCAGTGAGCAGTAACTGCTAGCAGGCCAGGTAGCTGATTTGGCCATAACGACAGGAAAGTATGTTAACTGTTAAGCTTATGTTGATATGATTGTCATATTAAACAAAGATGTTAATTAAAATATTCATTAAACTGAAAGAGCTAAGACAGCTCGTGGAACGTAGCAAACTCGTATACAGGCAGAACGAAACAGCACTAAGGAAGGTAGTAATATACTGTAGTAGGGGAGGGGTTATGTTAAGGATGGCTTTAGTGCGTCATCGAATCATGGGGGCCATCAGGCTCACCCAAAAAATTGTGGACACAGAAATGCTGAAAAACAGTTTGACAATCACAAGGGAAAGTACTACACAGTTCCCAGTCTTCTCACATATTTTCAAAAAGTATTTTCTAACAAGTATAATGAGTTTGGAAAGAAATCACTGATTTTGCTTGACCCAGCTTGACCCAGCAAAGCTTGATTGTGCTGTTTTTTAGGATTTGGCATTACCCTTATACTCATATTAGACTCATTTGGCATTTTCAAGGAAGATAATATACAGTCTGTTTTAATGTAGGTTGTGAATGTTTAACAAATTCCAACATTTTGATCTACAGGTGGCTTCGGTGGGTTTCTCCAGGCGGCTGACTCTCTCTGCAGGTGAAAGCCGTTGGGTTTCTCTGCCATGTGGATCTGAGCTGCAGCAGCAATTTGTTACTGAAAACTCAGCAATTCGAATCACATCTAGTGCTATAATCTCAGTGGTCTCTTTCAACCGTCGCTACAGAACAGGAGATGGTGCTGTGGTCTCCCCAACAAACGAGTTGGGTACTGACTACTTTGTGTACACACCCTCAGGAGGCATGACTTGCATGGACAAGCTACTGGCTATTGTTAATGGCAATAGCCAGAACAAGATCACTATCTCACCTGGTGCTAATTTGAGGCTAAGGGGAGGGTCTAGGTGGCAACGTGGGAAAGCAATAACTATTACCCTGAAACCCTATGCATCCTACCTTGTACGAAGTCATAAAACTTTGACAGGCACGCGGATTCAATCCCAGAAGCCCATTGCTGTCTTAGTGGGCCACCAGTGTCTGGCATTGGGTCGTGGGTGTGAACATGTGTATGAACAGCTCCCCCCTGTGGCACTTCTGGGTAAAGAATACATGGTACCCAGGACTGGCAGCTGTAAGGCCACAAACTGGGCCATAATAGTAGCTGTTGAAGACAACACTGAGGTGACGCTGCACAAGGCCCTAAACTCAAAAAAACAGTTGAGTTAAATATTAATTCATTACAATATACTGTTGAAGCTACAGCCAAGACCATCATGGTTGTCTCTCTGGTCCATGTATCATCCAATTATAGGGGTTGGGGAAAAAATCGATACAGCATAGTATTGTGATATTTTTGTGTGCCAATATTGTATCAATACATGGATGCTAAGCACTGATTTTTGTTATTATTTAAATTAATAATATTACAAATGTTACAAATGTTATAACTTATGATAGCCCACCAGAACAATGAAATCATTTGTTTCTTCAGTTCACTAGATACATTTTGCTGCAAAAAAAAAGACTGAAGTTAGATGAACTAACTAAAACTTTTCATTATTACATAAAACAGATGTTGCTGTTCCTTTGGGGACTTAATTTGCACTTGAGAAAAGGTAATACATTGCAATATATTTTATCATAATACTCAGTATATTGCAGCACATTTAAAATTGCGATAATACTGTCTCATGACTTAAGTATTGTGACAATATTGTATCATGGAGCCTCTGCTGATTCCTATCCTATCCTTTTTTTTTACTTCAGCTTTTGTAGCCTCTAAGAAAAGAAAATGGCCATTTTTTTGTTTCTGTTTTGAAATGGGATATTAATTATAGACAAGGAAACCAAATTTTCTTTTTGTTTGTTATGTAATCTTGTTTTGTACTATTCCTCTGCTGCGTGATCTGCAACATACTCGACAGAGCATGAACGTCTTTCATGATTTAAAGACGTTTGTAACAAATAAAAATATTTTAAGCTGAAAATAAAGGTACATTTTGAAGAATCTGAAAAAAAAATCTTGGAAAAGTGAATCAGAGATAATAATCGCATTCATCTGTGATGACAGGTGGACTGTAGTCTGTTATAAATGTAGGAGGAATATGCAAAGGACCAGTGAAATATTTTTTCAATACAAAACAAGAAAATGCTCAGTCATATTCACTTCATAAAGCCTGAAAAACAAGGGAAAAAAAATATCTATTTTATTTTGTTTAGTTTTCTGGATTGAATGAAATAATTGAAAGATCAGATGATACATGGACCACAGACACAGTGACTGTGTGTGTGTGTGTGTGTGTGTGTGTGTGTGTGTGTGTGTGTGTGTGATCAAAATACCAATGCCATGTGACAGCTGAACAAATTCCATCCACTGCTGAAGGCGACAGCAATGTATAGAAGCATATTGATGCCATGCCAGAAAAACATACAAACAAACAAAAAAAAAACTATCAGTATCAGGCATTATGAAAAGGTTCTTGTTATAACATGATGTTTTATATGTTTTTACAAGATGTTTTTAGGTAATAACAAGAAACTTTTCTTGTAAAAAAAAAAAAAAAATAGATAAAAAAGGAAACTGTTTTGATGTGAAACGTTTCACTTTATAAATGATAACTCAACACATTCTTATAATGTTAAAGTCATGTTTATGGCATCAATATCCTTCTGTATTAGTGTGAGGACCTTTTACGCTTGTCAAACAATCATTTAGTATGTTTTATATTGTACTGGCTGATCATATTACAAGATGCATACCAATATGTTGTACTTCTATATAGATATTTACTTAAAATGAAATTATCAAAAAGAAATTGCCCAGTTCATCTAAACTTGAACAACCTTTATCTAACTAATGAAACATGTTACACTTACACCAACAGGAGGCTAAGGAGACCTGGGGACGTCACCTCAGACAAACTACTCTTCAAACAGCCACTGGTTGTCAAGAGCAACAAGAAAGTAATGGTACTGCTTCTCAGCAACAACAGTCCATATGACCCTTTTCTAATAACAGTGACTCCTACCAGCAGGCTTGCCACTGATTGGGCGGTTGATACAGTTGGTGGACTTTACAGTACTGTTTCTGTTCTATCAGAGAGGGAGGGGGCAGGCAGTGTAAAAGTGTGTGTGAATGGACAGTGCCTCTCACCTAAGTGGATAAAGCTCCTGGCAGATCAGCGCTGGGTGTGGTCAAATGTAGCAGTGGGGAAACAGCAGAGTCATGTGACAGTGGAAGGTGATGCCCAAATGGCAGTCTACGCCTATGGTCAAGAAACCCGCCATTCGTATGGTATTGCTGGAGTTTGTTCTGAAGGTACACACACAGAGATTCTTTTATAATAATATAAAAATGGTGGATGCATTCAGTTAGAATATTTCTACATACCAACCAAACCATGCAGAATGTTTTTCTATCTCTAACTTAAGAGATATTTATGGATGAAAGGTATTAGAGAAAATTGATAAGGTAAAAGGCAATGTGAAAAGTAATACACTTAAAATCTGGGTAAAGCAAAAAAAAGAGGAATGGGTTTGTCACACCGCAGAAAAATCTATTATTAAACATCCAGCCAAATTTGAATGATTAAAAAAGTTGTATATATGTGTATAAAATTATTTCTCAAAATCATGAAAAAATAGGCAGTATTATCTGCTCTTAGACACTGGGGGCGTGTCCTCTGCATGTACTGAGGCCACACCCAATGGTTCTAGTTCCCATGTAGCGTAGGGGAGGGGCTTATGCTAAAGATGGCTCCATTGCATCATTGATTGATTGATTGAGATGTTTATTTCGAATATGATGCAATAATAAAAGGAAAAGAATAATAAACAATATGAAAAAGATAAACAATATGAAAATTGCTCATTGAGCAGGCTTTTCCCCCTGTCCAAAAATCCTGGACACAGAAATGGTGAAAAATGGTCTCACACCACCATTCGTAACTATATAGTTCCCAGTCTTTTCACATATTTCCAAAAAGTGTTTTCTAACATGTTCAGTGTGTTCAAATGTAAAACTCAGATTTTATTTTAACCTGACTTTAACGATGGCATAGTTAAATGTATCTGCCATGGTGCTACCTGTACATGGATATGGTGTATTTGCATTTCCTGTAGGTGCCCCCTCTCCTACACTACCCCCGGATCCCTGTGAAGACCTAAAATGTCGAGTAAAGGAACGCTGTGAGAACGGAAAATGCGTCCATGTCTCTACAGCAACCTGCCGTGCGATGGGTGACCCCCACTACCAGACATTTGATGGTCGACGCTATGACTTCCAGGTATGCTTAGGCAATATATGACAATATTGTGTAACACGATATCGTTGGCCACAATGATAGTTCTCATGTGTCTCTCTTTTTCTTTTTGTAACTTAAATGAAAAACGAATGCAATGATTTGCAAAAGTTTTTTGACTATTATATATTCAGTTAGAAACAGTATAAAGACAAGATGTTTAATGCTCAAAATGATAAAGTATGTTTTGTTTTGTTTTTTGTAAAATATAGACTTACTTTAAATTTGATGCCTTCAACATGTTCCAAGAAAGTTGGGACAGAGGCAATGAAAGACTGAAAAAGTTGTGGAATGCTCAAAAAACACCAGTTTGGTACATTCCACATATTAACAGTTGTAACTGATGTAAGATTGAAGTATCACGAAACAATTTTGCAAGAAATTTTACTGCCATCAAGTAGGAGGTAGTACATACAGCGGGTACTACAGGTACTGTATACTTCAGGTACAACATACTGTAGGTAATACATTACGAAAGACATGCACTGTAAACTACAGGTGCTGCATAGTACAGGCTGAGCCCTACCTCAGGTACTGCATAAATGTACTACATACTACTGGTATTACATACTACTTGTCCTGCAGGTACTGCACGCTACGTGTGTACGGCTCCTCTCATGTTGGTATTTCTATCTATAGGCCAAACTGTTGCACCAGTAGTAAAAGTAGTAGTATCCTTTAAGGCTATAGTAATGAATAATATATGCTAATATATAATATTAACATGCTCTTTGAAGTTGCTCCAACAATGTCAGTGTTTGACATTCATAACCCAAACAGTAGCAACAGCAGCTACAGTCACTAGTAGAAGTAGTTGTGCTAGTAGTATTTGTAGTAGTGATATAGAGGTACTTCTTCTAGCGGTAGTAGTTACAGTAGTGGTAGGATTGGATAGGATTGTTAGTAAATGCAGAGATGATAGCAACCTTTGCTCCTTATCTGTTGAATGGGGACGAAGAGACACAAACACATATGTCTGTGAGTTTGTGTTTCATTGGTTGTTGCTATGGTGATTAATGAGGGACCTGCAGCAGAGTAGCAGAGGGGGCAGAGAGCAAATAGATTATAGATGGATTTAATTCCTCTCAAACTCCTCTCTGTGATGCCCAAACCGTGAGTCCAATCGTCAATATGAGGATACTATCAGAGAGATGAGCTTCTCCCAAACGCAGACATATCTTTGTGGTGTCAAAAATGTGACCTTGGTCGCAAGTTAGAGATCTGGTACCCCTCAGCTGTTTTCCAAAAATTTCTCCTCTCAGTTTACATACTACATGTACAACAGTCAATGGGCAGTAGGTGTGTTTAATATTTTATGTATTTACAATACATTACAATATGTATTTGACATTCATAATCCTAAAGGTACTAACAGTAGTATTAGTAGTAAAGGCTGTAGTAGGATGTAGTAGATAATAGAAATCACTGATATATAATGTTTACATGCTGTTTAAAATACAGATTCTGCTCCTGTCATGTCTGCATTTAAGATTTAGACATGCATACACCAACATGTCTCTGTGTTGGTGTGTGCGTAGCCGTTGCCATGGTGTGGCAGGGCAGTTGTCATGGTGCTTAATGAGGGCTAGCTGAGAGAGCAGAGACAAGACAGGCAGAAAGCAGCTCTCAGCAGAGGGTTCTTGTAATGGACACGGGACCTCCCAAACTCCTCCCTTCTATTCCCAAACCATGAGTCCAATCATCAATATGAGGATACCAGTAGAGAGATAAACTTCTCCCGAACGCACACATATCTTTGTGATGTTTGTGGTGTCAAAAATGTGATCTTTGTGGTGAGTTAGAAATCTGGTGCCCCAAGCTGTTTTGCCGGAATTTTTCCTCTCATGGTCTCTAGGGCTGCAGTGATTTCTGGGTTGGCATACATTTTACTCTCATCCAGATCCAGCATGTGCAGTCCACCGAGAGAGGTCACTCTGCTAAGAGCAACATAAGCCATGCCCGGTTCAAAAATGTGTTTTAGTGAGACTACAGCTGATTTCCTTGTTATGCCTTAAACCTTATGTATTGTACAAGCAAAGGCAAGTTTAATAGGAAACCGTCTGCGCACCACTCTTTTCTGTTTCAGATTCTCCTGTGCTCTCTCAATGTACACTACATCATCAGGTCCTCCTGGTGCTCTGTTACGATAGTTTGTTCCAGCTGTTTCATCATCCATCTTGAGCCCCAGCATAGTGACATGTGCAACAGCATTTTCTTCAGAGGTTAGTACCCTGACTAGTGTGGAGAAAGATCCATTCACCAATCCTTGAGACACGTCTATGTTCCTGGTGAGCATGACACGAGCACTCTCAGCAACGTTCAGTGTATTTGGTAAGTCATTTCTGCCTCCTTTGAATGGTTTACTTTGTCTTGCCATTCTGCCAGTCCGTGGGTCCTTTCTGTAGTCATCTCCATCAATGGTGGCGATAAGAGAATGGAGCAGATCTAATGTTGCTGAGGTGTGTGAATCAGCCTGTTTATTAGTTGCAAAAATGTGCATGACATCAGTCGGACAAAGTGCTGGTTCAGTGAGAGCCTGTGACAGCAAAACTCTGTCTTTTTCAGACAGCTCATCTGACTTTTCTTTGACACAGATCCTGTTCAACATCTGTGCAAAGGCAACATCATCCTTCTGATGCATAATCTCAGTCAGGGTGATCATCTGAAAGTACTCCTGCCATGGGGTCATACACACAGAGAGGTTTGGACTGTCACATGGGTGGTAGCTGATAAAAGTCTCAGACAGCTATTACTGACATTCCTCCAAAAGGTCTCTGACTGCCTTTGATCTGTTTCAGCCTGGCATCCACATATGCAAAAAGGTGTTTTGACACCATGGACATTTCATCAATGACAATGATTTCAGGATTTAACAGTTCACATCTGACTTTATCAAGTTGGTTGCCCAGTCCTTGGAATAGAGGTTTTAGGCTTCACAGAAGCTTTAACAACGAGTGCAGTGTAGATCCTGATATGTTAAAGGCTGCAGTTCCAGTGAAAGCAGTCAAAAGGACAGTGGGATTTGAGATGTCTGCCTCCTCAGCATGTCTGGGCAGTTTGCTCAGTATCTTAGATGCCTCCGAGTAGATGCATTTGATGAGATGTGACTTTCCTCTTCCAGCACCACCATTAATGTAAAAGAAAAACTGCTCTGGGTTTAGGCCACAGACACGCTTCAAGCACCAGTCTCTCACTGCATAGAATACACATGCTTATTCCTGGTTCAGACTTTGATACATTTGGCATAACTGTGTTGGGTCTAATGCAGGGGACTCTCAGATTGCTCTGGCCTCTGTTACAGCATTAGCCTGATTACTGTAGTCTGGGACATTCTCTGTACATTTTCATGATCTGGCTCTCTTGCCTGCAGATCTTCAACACACTCCAACCTCACAACTTCAGATTCTGGTGCCAGATTACACCATTCATCAATCACACCTCTGTTCTGTTCAAACTCCTCAACTGCCTCTTCAGTTTCGTCACTGTTTTGCCCATATTTGTCTCTGTTTTGTTCGACAATGTGTTGGACATACTCAGGATGGTCAGCACCTGGTAGCTGAACATAGCCACTACACTAGAAGGACTCGTGTGGGGAAATATGTTTTTTTCAGTTCCTGGTCTGATTGATGAGGAAGGTACAGTTTTAGTAATGTGCCATAAAACTTCTCAGGATATTTTTCCTGTGAGCAGCGATGATATCTGATGACAGCAGGCTTATTGTTTTTTCGCTTTTGCACAAATCCCATTTCATTGAGGAGGGGCAAAACAGAGAGAGAGAGAGAGAGAGAGAGAGAGAGAGAGAGAGAGAGAAAGACAAAGGCAGGTGTGGTGATCAAAGGGCCGTTTGGCCTACAAAACAAAATGGCTGACATCAGAGAACTACAAGATGGCCGAATCAAAGCTAGCTTCAGATCGGGGGAGGTGTTTGTCTGACCGTGTGGTCAGGACAAAGACAAACTTTGAGATGCCTTTTGGGTGTAGCTCTGTTGAAAGCCTAGTTGTTAATAAGTCTATGTGAACGCATTCTCGGAACCCATCGTCTGTATTCGGTGTCTGACTTCCGGCAGACGGCAATACAGCCTCTGGGGGCAGACCCCCAATTTTTTGGCATTCCAGTTTGATTTGGGCGGAGGAGGTGAATTTCCATTTCCGACTTGCGTTTATATATAAGTAAATATGCTGAACCATTGCGATGGATTCAGAGTTTGCAGTGACGGCAATTATGTTCCCCCTTGTTAGTTCACCGCACGGACTGTTTAACCTGGCGACAACTGCAGCCGGCTCAAACGTGATTGGTCAATATCACGCGAACTACAAACAGCCTACAACCGGAAACCAGGGCTCTTTTGCTCTTCTTCCGGAGGCAAGATCTCCGGGGTTTTCACATCTCTATATACAGACTCTACATTCACTGAATGTAGAGTCTGTATATATAGACTAATGTGAATGTGATATGTGTTGCATAAAGTCTGGATTAGTGCAGAGATTGTTTAGTTGTATGCAAGAATCTGTTTGTGAACAGCATTAGCAAACTAAACACTTAGCTTTGGCGAAGCCAACTAACCAATGGCCTGACTGCAAACAATCACAACAATTACTCAGTAAACAGCATTAAATCGCATACAAATTAAACAGTCTTGATTAGCCTGTACAGCTGTGATAAAGCTATGCCCAGTTGTTACTTTACCGATCCTTGAATGGATGGAAGAAAGAGTCGCTTTGTGGTGTGCTTTGTTAGCTGGCAGAGGGAGGCGGGAAAGAGCTGTTTTTCCAGATGCAGTCTTTGTTGTGTCCTTTGTTCCAAAGGTGAAACTCTGAGGAAGCTGGTCTCTCAGGGTCTTTGCAGAGTTAGACGCTGTGTGCTAACTCAACAAACTAACTTCTCCCTGTTCCTCGAAAGTTAGTTGCAAACCTTGTGCTTGCAAATCTAACTTCTCTGGTTCAGGTTTGCCTCTACCTTGAGCATGGGCAAGTCGTGGTCCAGG